TTCAAAAATAAAAACATCATCGTTTTCTCAAAATCACATAAAGCCATATTATAACATCGACTGAGATAAAGAATAAAATGAAATATTAAAATCATGATGTATCTCGCTGCATTGCGCGAGTACGCTTCTAGTTTATTAAAAACGGAGCCTTCGTGATCCTGGAATATTATCCTAATAAATATTATTTAATGTAATTTATTTGAGAGTCAACATCACCCTTTCCTTGCAAGTAACGAAGTCAAACTTTGCAAATCCTCTCCAACAAGAAAACCCAACCACAAGTTGATTTCATCTCCAAAATCTCCGATTTCAATACGCTGATCATCTTCCCCAATTTCAAACCCTTATTTTCTGATTCACGAATCCGGCCGCCATGGAAGATGATGAAGTTCTTCTCTCTTTCAAAAACCTTGGTTTAGAAGAGCAACGACATGTTCATGAATCGGTGAAGGAGTCCGAGCTAACACCACCGCCGTTGGCGAGCCTGATGGAGGTGGAGGAAATCATCGGATACAGTTTTCGAAACAAGGAGTTGTTAAAGGAAGCGTTCACTCATGGTTCTTACAAAGCCGAGGATTGTCAATCGTATGAACGGCTCGAGTACTTAGGCGACTCGGTTCTCAACCATGTGATTGCTAAGCTACATTATTTTCACTACCCTGATATGGCGCCTGGTGAGTTGACTCGGTTGCGCGCCGCCAATGTCGACACCGAGGCCTTGGCTCGTGCGGCATTGAAGTATGACCTGCATAAATATCTCCGCCACCGGAAACCTCTTCTCGATGGACAGGTAGTTACCATTCTATATGTCTTCTTTTCAATTACTTTACCGGAATTATTTTATAGAAAAGGTTTTGTGTCTGTTCTTTCAGTTTCATACAAATCTCGATGATTATTGCTCAGTTAAATGTTTATAACCTTTTTTCTTCCTCAGAAATCAATTGATTACAAATTGCTGCAAAATTAGGGTTTTATCGTTGCAGGTTGTTTTCATTGAATTTTGTTGATTCGTCCTTTTATTCCTTTTCACACGTATTTCATTGAATTTTGTCAGTTTTCCCAAATTCTATTTCTTACCTTTTGCATATTTAGATCAAAAGTACACATCACATCACATAGATTCTTTTGAAACCCATATAAAACAAAGGCTAGCTAAGAATAAACTCATATTCAGATCAGAAATGATGCTTTGTTGTTAGAGCTTATTGTTTGACACAGATGCTTGAAACTTTTGTTGTGACCCCATTCATCCGTTTTGTTCAATTAAGATCATGTTACTTTTAGTTATGCTGACATCGGCCATCAATCAGATTATATTACCATTATACCATAGCAGATCAGTACATTGTTTGTAGAGATGGTTAAGTCTAGGAATGATGACCACCTAAAGTTTCCATTGCTTTCATCTGATTTTTCTTTGTTGTCGCTGAAGTACAGATTCAAGAATTCATGGAAGGGATCAATGAGTACCCATTACATTCGCATGGTATGATTGATCCGCCTAAAGTACTTGCCGATATTTTTGAGTCACTAATTGGTGCCATCTTCATCGACACGGATTCATCAATGGATGCTACTTGGGAGGTAACATGTTGCATCTCGTTACCTTTTGGAATTTCTTGGTTGCAATATTGGTCCAGTTATCACGCGAATAATCAACATTAGTCAATAGGACCTATGAAATAAACCTTAAAAAAGGTTTAAAAAGCTTGTTCAACCATAATTCCTGTATATGCTTTTGGTGGGGTTGGTGTGGGACACTTCTTTTTAAAGGCCAATGATTAGCATATGCAAGAAATTAAAAAGAACTGAAGTAACAGTATCTTAATGGTTTCAACCATTTGTTAAAATATGTTAATCTTTGTTAAGATTTCACCATTTTTATATGAATTTGATACATATGATGTCTTTATAAATTGTTTTCTTACAAATTTATGCTCCTTGAACCCATTATAATCCAGATCTGGTTCAAGAACATTAAAAAACCTTCCTCTTCCCTTTTTCTTTGGAAATGGGTGATCCCAAGCTTCACCCGACTAATTCCATGACAAATTATGACTATAGGCTTCTCACACAGCCCTGAGGTAAATCTCCCAGTGGCCATAAAACACATATATATCGGCAAGATTTGAAACTGGCTTGATTTTATCGCCCCCTTGTCCTCATCCACCACGCTACCACCCTTGTCCGTTACTTTCCCTTCTCTTTCAGTAACACAAATAAAAAACTTTCTTTTCCCTCCCTTCCCTTTCTTTTTCTTCTCTTTTCATTCCAAATTGGAGAACGCAGTTAAAGGAACAGAACCTAAGGGGCTGTTTGGCAGTTGTTGAATGATTTAGTGCAGAATGATTAAGTGGTCAGAATGATTAAGGGACTCTTATGATATAGTGTAAAATGAAATATAATTGTTTGATAACTGTTTACAATGAAAATAGGCGCTGAATGGTTAAGGGAGGCCCAAGATACAAAATCATTCAAAGGGTTTTAAAACTATTAAGAGAGAAGCTTTTTTTTTTTTGCCAAACAAGATTTACTTCTTAGCGATCCAGAGGTTGCCTTTTTATGGAACTATTAAGAGGTAAACAAACAACCCCTAAGTGTTTTGCAGCATAGATAAATGGCTATTTATCTGAAAGCAAACAAATGCAGATCAGTACAGTTTATAATGACATCTTTTATGGTGACCTAAGCTCGGGTTTTACAGGTCGTTGAGCGGTTGTTACAGCCCCTAATCACTCCTGAAAACTTGAAGTTGCACCCTGTTGCGAAGTTCAATGAAGCATGCCAGAAGATTGGAGTTAAACCACAAGCCAAAGACCTATGGAACAAAACAGGGGAAATTGAAATCTACATCAACAATGAATTTATTGGGAGAGGAATGTACAAGTTAAAGAAGCTGATTGCAGTGAACAGAGCAGCAGATGATGCATACAAGAACCTTTTTGAAAAGCTTGGTAAGAAAGATGGTGGAATTGGAGGTTAATCATTCAGCATTCTGGTAAGTAACACCACAATCTTTGTATCAAATTAAACGAGCTTTTACCTTCGTAATGTACGAAGGAAAAAGCTCATTTATTTTGGAACGAAGATAATATCTTCGAATAATGGCTTACGCTCTTTCTATTTTATTTCTCGTTAGACTCGTCCCTTGTCATCTTGGGTTCGCTTCTGTTATGGAACTCCGTTTTATTGATGGTACTTTTCGGTTGCTTATATGCTATTTTTCTATATCATCAACTATTTTGTGACTCTTTTCTTTTAGGATCATGTGAAGCGAACCTATATTCCTGCCGCTATGAGACCATAAAATAACACTGAACTTTCACAACAAAAATATTGTGAAAGTTTGTTTTTTACCTTCAGTGTTTTTGCTGTGAAGGTTCAGTGTGTTTTTGTGTCTTCACAACTGGTTTCACGGGTCTTACAGAAACATATCAGTCTCATGAAAACATGACCCTATATATATACACACACACATGCACACACGCACATCTACGCTTGTGAACTTATATGATGGTCTAGTGGATAAGAATTTAGACTTGGTTATTATAGTTCTCACAATCGCTTCTCGTGCTATCGACTTCTTAAGGTTAAAATGCATCTATCGATCGGAAGACTTTGAATTTTAAGGAGTTAATTTATAGTGAGCATATTACACATACCATGTTGATTAGCTGTGCAATAACCAAAGGAATGCATTGTGTATCAATAAGCAACAAGTATAAGTTTTCATGATTGATTTACTCACCATAAAATGAGCAAAATAAACGATGAGGAGTCTTACATTGAATGAAAGTGACATTTGTGAGCTCTTGTAAGTGGGGTAGGGTCCCACATGGAAAAGAAATCGAGATTTGTTAGTACCTAAAATTGTACATTGTCTATAACTTTCATTATGGTTTTGAGTTAATTTGGAAGTAAATGGTTTTAACTTTCATCCATTAATTGTTGCAACTCGAATCATTAAGAGATGAATCTTGTTTGGCAAAGAAAAGTCTACCACTGAATGGTTTTGTATCATGTGTTTCCCTTAACCATTAAGCGCCCTAATTTCATTGTAAATAATTACCAAACAATTATATTTCATTTTTCATATATCATGAGAGTCACTTAATCATTCTGCAATTGTCTAACTATTCTATTATAATGATTTTCCAATCCAATAAGTTAGAAATCTATTACAACGTCAAGAAACTCAACACAAGAGTGGTTCACGTTTGTTATTTATGGAGCCTTTTCACTTTTAAATATCTGAAGAATAATATTCAACTTTGATAGTTTATTTGTTTTAAAAATTATAATATTAATTATATTATTAAAATATTCAATACATTTAATAGAATATTGTTTTTCTCTTTTAAACTTTCAACTTTAGAGTTTTTTTTTATTGATGGTAATATCATAGATAAAAAAAAAGGGTATTCTAACGCCACTCCCTCCTATTTTTTCCCCCTATTCTTTCTATACACCACCTATATGAAATAATAAAATAATTAAAATTTATTTATTTTATTTTTCAATTTTAACCCTTTAATATTTTTAGTTTTAAYCCTTCAAYTTTTTAAATACTTTCCTATTATATCCTCCAGGTTTTTTATCTATATTATAATTACATATATTAATTAACTAATATTATTATTAATTAATTAAGTATAAAAATTTTTTTAATAATTATATAAATTAATTAACTTTATATTATTATTAATTAATAAAATATTAAAAATATATAATTTTTAAATTATATATTTGTATATGAATTTTTTTCAATATTTATACTTTATATATTTATAAAAATTTATTATATTTATTTACTTCTTTATTTTTATTTTATACCATTGTGATATTTATATAATTACAGTTCCATAATTAAATAAAACGATGTTCAATATTGGGTTCATTTTGAAGTTATTGACGAGACGATTAYGATGATGTAACTTATTAAAATAAAAACATATTTTAGTTAAAATACGATTATAATAATATAATTAAATCAAATAATATTCATTATTGGGTTTATTTCGAAGAGTGACGATTTTTTTCACAGTGTATATAATATATAATAATATAATTAACTCAAAAACTATTCAATATTGGACTCATTTCGAAGGTATTAACGAGACGATTATAATGGTGTAACTTGTTAAAATAAAAAGATATTTTTTAAACATGTTTTAGTTGATATACGATTATGTACCTTAATTTAATAAAGGTGCAAAATGAAAAATTTAAAAGTAAAAGGTATAAAGTAAATTAATTAAATAATTACAAATGTATGAAGTGTAATTTAAAAATATAATATTAAATAAATTGATCGAATAAGTGACGTAAGGGGGTGGGGATATCAACCCCCTAAAAAAAAACCATCTCTGTCGTGATATCATTTTCAGGTAGTTCTCTAAACTTGAAGGATTTTATACTCTCTTTTACCTTCTTATTTTTAAAAAAAATCTATTTAAGCAAAAAATTCGACCACAATCTCCAAAACTTCATTTTCCCCGTTTTAAAGAATTTATTGGAAAGACTTGTAAAAAACACGTCTTTCAAATAGGTGCGTATATGAACCTCCCCCCCCCCCCCCCCCCCAAAAAAAATAACTTGACTCGGAACATAATCGTTGCCTAAAATTTACAAATCAAGACAGTTGGTTATCTAGACAAATCAACCCAACCGGTTCAACCCAGCAAATTTAATCCGGAATCCAAATTATCGTTCACTTGGAGACGTCGTTGATTTATACGTTTCAAATTTTAATTTAAGCTCCATTTTTGTTGAACAATTAACCATAGACATTTTTAGGTATATAACCTTAAAACAAATTTTAGTTAAATGCATGACGTTTTGTATAAAGTCGTATTTTTCTTTAATAAATGAGGAGGTTGTAAATTTAATTACAAACCATTTAAGATCATATCCCTAAATTAGCACCATGATATTCTCGATAATTTTTACGCAAGTTTTTTTAAGTCGAAGTAGTTGAATAGATTATTTATATGCATTTAACCCGAAACTATGTACACCTCTACTTGCAAACAATCGAATTGCCTCTTTCCAGAGTGCAACAAGAACAACTCTTTTAACGTTGCAAGTTATCGTTATCACTGATCAAATAACCTTTTTTTTATTAACCTGGATATCCAACTCGTTATACGAGCCGACTAATCCCATGGCGACTACCTGCTTTGCAGATAGTCCGGAGTCACTGCATTTGAACATCCGTGGCCACAAGAAAATATTTATTTCTCCTTGGATTTGAATCTGAGACCTACTGGTACTTTTGATTTTTGGAACCAATCAGACACCACCCCCTTGTATTTTCAAAAAACCTTTGAATCAACTTAAAACTAAAGTATCTAAAATAAGTCAAATAACTACATTGGAATGAGAATATGGGTTGGGTTCCGGTGAGAAGGAGAGTTAAGGTGAGAAGCGTAAGAAGGGATCTCCATCATTGGATGCACATTAGGATGAGATGCATTGAGATGTACCAGATCAATCTCTGTATCAAACGCGATTCATGGGTAGTTTTGAGATTAAAGGTGATCAAAGATCCAAATCCCTTCTTACGCTTCTCCCCTTAACTCTCATCCTCCCACGATCTTTCGCCGCGAGAATATTCGTTAAGAATTTGGTATTTTAATAATCAAGAAACAAAATGCTTTGATTTACCTAGCGGTTAATGACAGATTGATTGACGGACGTCCGTGGCTTATAGGTTTTATGTACCAACAAACCCTTCACATTGCGTTAACGACACTATATGCCGGAGGTTTCTCAACACCGGCACCGACCATAATGTTCCTCAAGTCGCTAGCACGTTCCCATTTCTCGGCTTCGGCATAAATACTCGACAAAAGTATATATTGCCCGCATTTTTCGGGTTGTAATTCAAGAAGTCTTTTGGCCACTTCATCTCCTAATTCAATATCTCCATGGAGTTTACAAGCACCCAAAAGAGCCCCCAAAACAGTGGCATCAGGCTCAAATGGCATCCTTTTCAAGAAATCTCTTGCTTCTGCCAAAAACCCTGCTCTACCCAATAGATCAACCATACATCCGTAATGCTCCATCCGTGGAAGAATGCCGAATCGAGGCATCATCGAGTAGAAAACTTCAAACCCGAAATCGATGAGCTTAGCACGAGCACAAGCGGCAAGAATTACCACAAAAGTAATCGCGTTTGGATGCCATCCTCCAAGATTCATCTTATCGAACATTTCGAAGGCCTGTTTTTCTTTTCCGTTTGAAGCAAGAGCACCGATCATTGCATTCCATGTGCATACTTTCGTTTTGATCATGCTTTTAAACACTTTCATCGCGTATTCTAGACCACCCGTTTTCCCGTACAAAGTTATTAGTGCCGTGCCGGTAAAGGCAGTTACTTGATCTTCGTTCTTGATGATGTACCCGTGTATTTGCTTGCCGTTTAACAACCCTCCCACAGCAGAATTAGCACAAGAAGAAAGAACGCTAACGAATGTGGCTTCATTAGGTTCCGCAAAACAATCTCCCAAGCATCTTTGCATGATCATCTGCTGAAAAAACCGAATTGCAGCCTTGTAACATCCATTCCTGTCATACCCTTTAACGATACTAGTCCACGAATAAACATCCCTCATCGGCATACGTTCAAAGAACAAAACCGCAGAACCCATATCTCCATTCTTGCAAAAACCATCAAGCATAGCATTACACGAAACAACGCACGGTTCAGGCATTTCATCAAACACCTTACGTGCACAAGAAACACAACCAGTTTCTGCATACAAACAAATGAATGAAGTTTGTACAAATGGATCGGCTAATACTCCACGCTTGAGGGCTTGAACATAAAGGGGTTTGCTAATGATCGAAGGGGTTGTATAAGAAGCAGCAGCTTTTGCGATTGAAGGGAAAGTATGAGCATTTGGCGGGATATTACTGGAAATCATGTGGGTGAAAAGGAGCAAAGTGGTGTGAGGAAGATGAACATTGAGGTAAGCTCTGATGAGAGTGTTGTAAAGTATGGTGGTCGTCCATTTGAAGGTAGATGGATTGGGGATAGAAAGGAGATCGCCATTGGTGATGAGGAGGGAATGGATTTGCTTGATTTCAATGGCGTTTTTGATGAAACGTTGAAGGAGTTGCAGTAGAGATTCCGATGAGAGAAGCATCCCGGAGACGATTCATCGGACGGTGAACTGAAATTTTTGCAGCGGGATAATAACTTCAAAACTCCCGTTTGTTTTAATTGAATTCTGTTTTTTCAATAAAACATAAAAATATTTCTTCAAAAACTCCTATTTATCATTTTGATTACCGAATACTAAAAGTGTATTCGCATTATGCAGCGAGATGCATCTCGATTTTAATGTACTATTTTATTATTTGTCTCAATCGATGTCATAATACGATTTTATGTGTTTTTAAGAAAGCAATAATGATTTTATTTTTAAATAAAATATAAATTTGAAGAAAAATATATCAATCTTAATATCAAATCAACTATTTAAAAGTTCTTATTTTTATGTAATTTCAATAATTTATTTTTGGTTTAATAATATAACATTTTATAAAGATAATCATTAAATATTCTGTTAGAACTCAATGATTATCTTAATTATATTTTAGATTTTTTATATTTAAAACGAGATGTTTATCTTGTACTTGATTATGTTTATCTGTAGTTAGTTACACGAATTCAGATATGGAGCTTTAATAAGTTGTACTTACGCACAATCTACTTGTAATCTTGAGTTTTAAGTAATATCCATTAATAAACAGTACTTTATGCATAAAAATTAGTTTTTAATTTTTTTTGTCAAATCTTTATAATATAGTATATATATATTATTGTAATGCGTTGTTTATTTATCTCTTAATAGTTCAATTAAAAGGCAATATGTGAATCATTAAGAGGTAAATCTTGTTCGACAAAAAAAAATATGTCTCTTAATAATTTTAAAACCCTTCGAATGATTTTGTATCATGGGTCTCCCTTAACCATTCGGCACCCTGATTCCATTGTAAACACTTACCGAGCAATTGCATTTAATTTTCCATTATATCATGAGAGCCGCTTGATCATTCTGACCACCTAATTATTCTGCATCAAACCATTCAGTAATTATCAAACAGCCCCTAAATCTGGTTTTAAGACCCAATAGATATTTTGATGCACCACATTTCAATTGCTAAAATATTTTGATTACCGATTTATTATAAAACCAAAGGAAATGGGTTAAAAAAGATAACACATTTATTTTACAAAAACGCGAAAACATATATTTATTATAGTCATCATATGTGATACTAAATCAGATACATGAGTGACCTTTGGCGTGATTTAGGTCGTAAACCAAGTCACCCACATACCACCAAGTCATCTTATGTGTATTATCACATCTGATAAGAGTGTTTTCATGTTTTGAACCTCCATCGAAAGCCAAATATTTATATCATTTTTTGCTAAAACGGAATCATTAAAATTGTTTGACTATTAAAGTATACAACACAACAAATTAACACATTTAAAAACCTGATGGGGAACCCGGCTCACCCGACCCGAACGGGGACAAGAAATCCCTACTAAAACGGGTTCCAGGGCCGGGTAGCGTGTCCTCCCGCCTCGTACCCGATATATAATTTTATTAATATATTTTATATAATATATGTATATTTATACTATCTTATAAAGCATTTAGCTAAAACTCTTAAAACTTTTAAAAACTCTTAAACTCGTTCATCCCTAAACGATTTCATCCCATATCTAAATTAACTAACTGCAGATAAACACAATCATATACATGATAAACATCTCATTTTAAATATAAAAAATCTAAAATATAATTAGTATAATCATTAAATTCTAACAGAATACTTAATTATTATCTTTATAAAATTTATAATATTAAACCAAAAATAAATTGTTTT